CAGACTATTATATGTACTGTATGCACTGCACTCTATATAAGAATATGAGGGGGCACACAAATGCATTATCACATGTAAAGGTTAGATTTTCCATTAACATATACCTCTTCCCACCTCCTCAGTTCAACCTCTTGATCTTTAGCCTGCAACTCCTTCTCTTTCTTTTTTAAATCCTACATTCAATGTTTACTTAAATTTGAGAGTCAAAGTGATAGACAACAAATCAAGAGTCTTCTCCTCTCAACTTATTCTCACGTCTTCTTCCTTCTCTCACTTCAAACAACTCTCGATCAACTTCTCACCACAATGCTTCTCCTACTCCTCTCACTATTTTTCTTCACAAATACTTGTGCCGACCAAACAAATATTTCTGCCGGCCACGCCATCCCCTTTCCCACCCACGACCATTTCAACGTAAAAAAATCCCAAAACCCCCTTGTCCATATCATCCTTATATGAGTTAATTCCACTAGAGGTCCCTTGTCTTTAGTGACAATTCAACACTTAGTCACAGATTCTTGTTTTTGTCATTTTTATCTGTGCATCGTACGCACATCGCACGCGCATCGCACCATTAGGATAGGAAGTATGCAATCTTAATTTTGATAAATGCTTCTAAAATTTGAGCCACCATTTAAATTTGAAAGTGTATTATTTTTATTTACATAAGTGTATTATGGTGTATTTTTTATTTATTTCACTATTATTGAAAATGATTTTATATTTAATTATTTGTCAGGGAGGGCAAGCAGATTGAAAGAGAAAAATAACGGTGGAGTGCCATGCATGCAAATATAACTCTCTTATAATTGATCAGAACTCTCTTACCTCTGAACTCTCGGCATTCTCCACTTTTTACACATTTTCTTCTTCTTCTTCCATTCTTCTTCTTCTTCTTCTTCCTTCATATTCATCTTCTCGCGTCTGTCTCGTTTCTTTCTTCTTCTTCTTCTTCTTCTTCTTCAATTCGTCTTCAATCAACTTCTCACCACAATGCTTGTCCTCCTCCTCTCACTGTTTTTCTTCACAAATACTCCTGCCGGCCAAACAAATATTTCTGCCGGCCACGCCATCCCCTTTCCCACCCGCGACCATTTCGACATAAAAAATGATGGACGAACGCTGTGTTCGAATTGTAAGAGCAGAATTGAGATTATGGAGGCAAAAAGAGTTACAGAGAGGGAAGAAGGAAAGCTATATATAGACAAGGAGCAATGTGACGGTTATAACTGATTTTGTGTAGAATGACCTTGGTGTCCTTGGCTTAGCTTCTCCTCATCTGCATGCTTGTCATCAATCTGTGTAGCCTCCAATAAAAAAATCCCTTTCTCAGGCTACCAAAATTCATCCTCTGCCAAAAAATCCCTTTGTCCATATGCTCCTCTCACTGTTATATGAGTTAATTCCACTAGAGGTCCCTTGTCTTTAGTAGTAATTCCACACTTAGTCACAGACTCTTGTTTTTGTCATTTTTATCCGTGCATCGCACGAGTAATTGAGTAATTATTTGCTCAAATTCAAACAAATAATAACATTAAAAAATATAATCGATACAATCCATTATCATTACCTTCTTCGCAAAGTTATGAAATGCTTCACAAAACTAACAATTTTTTGTTTGAGACCACAAGTAATAAGGCACATACCTCACTTGCAAGGGGAGAAAGCTTATTTATATCTGCTTTATTTAACTGCCCCATTCTCTCTTTTCACTGTTTAGCCCACTCTCCCTTTTTTTTCTTTCCTTTTTTCATACATATCAAGAAACACAATAAATAATGATGCAGTTAAAAAAACAAAACAAGTTTTACTATATGCTTTTCTTTCATTTTCTACTGATCAGTAATATATAGACTGTACCGAATATATATATATATATATATATATATATATATATATATATATATATATATATATATATTGGCCTTGTTTGGTTAGGAGCTGATCCGCTGATTTTTAGCGGATTTGATCATCTTTAGCGGTTTGACTTAGTCAAACCGCTAAAGATGATATTTGGTTAATAGCTTTTTCACTTAGCGAATCGCTATACGAATCGTCAAATTTGACACACTACTAAGAGCAGCGTTTAAGCATAGTGTTTCACTATTTTATTTTCAAAGTTCTAATTTGTCCTTATTTTCATCACATCTCCCGATCTCAAGCTGGCTCATTCCCAGATCTGTTTCTCTCCGCTTCTCTCCATCGCACTTCGCTCCATCTCAAATCTGCTTCTCTCAATCTCAAATTACTCCCAGGTCACAACCTCCTGCACAGATTATTTTACAAATTATAACTTATGTAATTAATGGGTTGATTTTACAAATTATTACTGATGATAGCTGATTGAGTTAGCTGATAGTTAATAGCTGATTGTATTAGCTAGTTTGACCAACTGATTGTATTAACTGGTTATAAAAAAGTGTTTGGTAAATTACCTGTTTACTATTAGCTTATTATATGTAAAATGACATTTAAGGGTATGTGTATGTTATGTTATTTTAAATTTAAATTTATTAGGATAGGAAGTATGAAATCTTAATTTTGATAAATGCTTCTAAAATTTGAGCCACCATTTAAATTTGGAAGTGTATTATCTTTATTTACATATGTGTATTACGGTGTATTTTTTATTTATTTCAATATTATTGAAAATGATTTTAAATATTTAAAATAGTGTATTAATGACGTTTATTTAAAATTTGTTTCTACGATATAGATATGTCAATCAAGGGGCGAACTCAGCCAGATTATAAATTGGATAGTTGACTTGATAGCCACATAGTTCTAAATTTGACTCTTTGTTAATTTAAAGGTGCGTTCTACAGTTAAGGTCAGGACACTGCGTGGTCTGACCAAAGAGAATTACTAAATTGTGAACTAGTTTTCAACTTTAACCCACTAATTTTTTAATCTTTTTAATCAACCCATCAGTTTTCCATTATATTGACATCTCTACCATTGTATTCAATCTAACATTTTCATCACTTATTTTTAAGATGACTTTTTTTTTAAAGGGAAAATGGAGAAAAGCTTAAGGCCCTGTTTGGTAAAAAATTGGCCTATAGGCCAATTTTGGCTTATTTGACCATTATTAATTGTTTGATTTAGTTTAAAATATCAATATAGATGTTTGGTTAATTAGCTTTTTGCAACTCCAAAAGGCTAAAATTCAAAAAGGTACTCCAAGCAACTTTTTCAATTAGCTTTTTGAGAAAATAAATTATATCAAACAGCTATCAGCAAACAGCTAATTTACCAAACACTTTTCTTTTTTTTTTTGAAACGTACCAAACACTTTTCTAAAATCAGCTAATGTTATTAACTATTTATACCCTCTAATTAACACAATCAGCTAACAGCTAACAGCTATTTTACCAAACAGGGCCTTAAATTAAATAGCTAGGTATATAGAGAGACCACAAGTAGTAAGGCACATACCTCACTTGCAAGGAACATATATATATATATATATATATATATATATATATATATATATATATATAAAAGTAGTCAGCAAACAATAAGCAAATTTTTTGGAGAAAAATTATCATTATCTTCCTTGCAAAGTTATGAATTGCTTCACCAAACTAACAATTCTTTTTTGAGATATATTTCTCACTCACTCTTAAATTTAGAAAGAAAAATCGGTAGTCATGTGTGGCAAACAATAAGCAAACTTTTGGAGAAAAAATTATCATTACCTTCCTTGCAAAGTTATGAATTGCTTCATCAAACTAACAATTCTTTTTTGATATATATTTCTCACTCACTCTTAAATTTAGAAAGAAGAATCAGTAGTCATGTGTGGCAAACAATAAGCAAACTTTTTGAAGAAAAATTATCATTACCTTCATTGCAAAGTTATGAATTGCTTCACGAAACTAACAATTCTTTTTTGAGATATATTTTTTAATTGAAATTTTTATATTTAATAAAATTACGTTTAAGGTGCTTCTAAATAGTTTAAATATATGCTATTGAAAGTCAGGTGATTAAAGGAAAAAAAGTTAATATATGATTTAGCCTTCTATTATAATGATTTTTTTTTTAAATTTAGTCATAAACAATTTTATGTGTTTAATTAGGTCCTCAATTTCGATGGTTTTATCTAATTGAGTTCACAGCTCTTCGAATCAAGGATTAGGTTAATTTTGTCCTTCATTTATTATTCTGTCTATTTGGTGTTAAATAGATGGACAATTCAATAATTTTAATATTGGCATCTCCTTGCTCCTAGACCTGCGAAGTGTGAAATCTATATTTCTTTTATGAATTACTCACAAACTTGCGAATATAACATTTTATTTGCATATCTGAGAGTAATTCGTAAAAGAAATAGGAAATTTCGCACTTCGTAGTAAAAAGATACCAATATTGAGATTGCTGAATTGTCTCTTTATCAATGCGCATCCCTTCTGTAATAATTCCAATGTGCATCGCACGAGTAATTGAGCAATTATTTGCTCGAATTCAAGCAATGATAACATTAGAAAACATAATCGATACAACCATTTCATTAATTGCATTTCGTTGTTATAATTTATATTTGTATATCGATCTAAATATTTTTAAAGTATTATAACAAATCTATTCTGTGCAACGCACGGTGAAAATACTAGTTGCTATAATAGCATTAGAGAACAGACTTCAGAGCAACACGTAAAGTCACAACCTTGTATACATTCTTAGTGTTATATTTTATTTTTTAGCTACAAATTGATTATTATTTGACGTAAGATTAATATTTTCGTTGGGAAGCTAATCTTTCTATATAATAAAGTCATAACTTCTTGGCCAATCATATTTTATGATTTCCCGGCCCAAACAATTTAGATTTAATTTTTGTTTTTTTTTTCTAGGAATGAAGTTACCGCTAAAATAAGATAAATTTTTCCGCTCAGTACATACGGTGCCGTTTCATTGTTAATAATGAATTAAATCAATTAATAACCGGCGCATTTTTTTAGGTTTCAAGCGTGTTGTCGTTTACACTTCCAATGAAGCGTGGTTAATATGCATAGCCTGCTTTCATTATCGAGAATCATCATTTCTACAAACCATGGTATCATCTGTTCTACAGATTTGAAATTTGAAATAGGATTACACAACATTATAAATAGGTTGAGTTTTTTAAAACAGAGGTAGTTCATATCCTCCAAAACTTCTAGAGATAGCATTTACATTTTACATGGAATACAAACATCACACGAATATGGCTCCAATGTTTTGCCAGATCTCTCTTTGGAGACGTTTGATAAGACGTTTGCTATTAAAGCAGACCTGGTTCGTACCTGCGAAGTGGCAACGAATCAATCAAATCCAAGGAGGGTACATTTCATGATGAACATGTATATTGATCTTATATTTATATTATAAGCTAATGTTTATATTCTAATCAGATAAGTTATAAAGATGAAAAAAATAGCAATGATAAAGAATAGTTGTATTTTGTGTTCGTAATACGTAATTCTTGATGTAAAACTCCAATTTAGACCATTTTTTTATTGATTTTTTTTTTTCTGATAATTATTTGTTTGATTTTTTTTCCTAATCAGTGAACCTACCAGTCTGCATAGAAAAAAGATAGGACTGTACATCAATAAAAAAATACAGGAGACAAATAATGTGCAAAAAATGTTTACCACTTCTCGCTGCATTATTTTTAATTTAGTTTCTTTTTTCTGATACTTATTTGTTTTTACTTTTTTTCCTATTCAAGAACCTAACAGTCTACATAGATAAAAAAAAATAAGAGAAACAATGTGTAAAACAAGACTGATGAACATGTGTAAAACTGCTATTTTGACCATTTTTTATGAGCTTTTTTTCCTGCTAATTGTTTGTTTGATGTTTTTTTATTATTTCTATTCAGTGAACTTAACAGTGTGCTTAGACAAAAAATTGTAATGTACATCTATCATTAAAAAAATACAAGAGAAACATAATGTGCAGAAGTAAAATTTGTTGCAGTTTTCACTGCATTATTTTTTATAATTAAGTGTTTTTATTCATTTTCTTATTCAAGAACCTAACAGTCTACATAGGGAAAAAAAAAAAAAAAAAAAAGAGAAACAATATTTGTAAAACACATTTTTCCAGCTAACAGTGTGCTTATTTAATGCCTTTGGTTGATGTTTCTTGGTTGTGTTTCTCAATAACATTGTTTTTTGGAGTGGTTAATTTGGATGTTGATCAATTGTGCCCAGTGGCACTTTAATTTTAATATGAACTATGAAGGATTAGTTTACATTGTCTATAATTAGATTCTTTTAAATTTCTTTTTGCATGACCAATCTAGGAATCATATTCACATGCTAAAATAAAATAATAAATGGAATGGAAAAATACCTCAGAGAAGTCCAGCTTTGCAGCATTTGTGCGGTCACCCATCAACTTCACAGTTTTGGCATAAAGGATATTGTCTTGTACTATCTTTGCAAGCTCAGGAAAATGCCAACCATACCATTCTCGTACCCTCATTGCATATGTGTTTAGTTCTTTATCAAGATCGTCCAATACACTAATTGCTTGGACTATCATTGTATCCACCTAAAAATACATGACATAACAGCTAATCAAACTATAAGACATGAAGATAGAGAAAAACGACTACTGTTATTTTCTTTTGGAGTTCACATTTTGACAAACTGAAAAGAATAAAGGCAATATCTTAGATCTAAGTCTTCTACTGAAAATAAATGGCAATTTACCTTATCAGGGCTAAATTTTAATTAGCTTGTATCTTGAAAGGCTGTCAGATAAACCCAAGCTCATTGGAGCCAAATCTTGAACAGCCAAACCATATATGAGCTCAGTCAATTGATTAATCAATCCTCTCATCAATTCCATGACCGTACTGTTGTGCACACAGTCAATTTGCTGCAGGCAAATGGTAGTTTAAGATCACAGAATATAAGAATAGTAAGGAATTAAATGAAAAGAAATGAGATCCAAAACAGAATTAAGACAAGTCAGATACAATTGATGGATTTTTTTATGCAAAAAACTCAAATGAAATGAGTCTCAACAGATAAATAAGAACTTAGATAAATGTAACTACCTCATCTGATTGGGAGTTATCTCAGTGTCTGAATTACATTTGAATGTTCCTCGCTTCTTGGTTTCAATACGATTCACATTCATCATAACTTCTTGGCTATCAGAATTTGAATAGCTGAATGAGACTGTAGCCAAAATGCTAAATTAGATCATGGTTAAACCAAACTATTTCATATCTAAAATCATTGGTTAGTATAAATGGAAGCCAACATATCTTGAAATCTTGGCATTACAAAATTCTCACTCACTGTACATGGATGGATGGATACAAAATATGGGATCAATTTAATTATGCATAATTGAAGCGCGCGTTCAATATTCTCTCAGCTCGCAGCATATCATCAGGTGTTGTAACCTGCTAGCAAGCAAAAGAATAGTTGCATATTAAAACAGCATCCGAAAATAACAATTGGCAAATGTATGTTTTGGTGGGGCTCACCTTGATGTTAGCATAAGAGCTTTCAGTAATGTAGATTGGATGTTTAAGGAGCTCCACAATAGTAGATACACCATCTGTGACTTCAAGACCTTCCCTGGAGAAGGTGCAAAGCATCAAATTAGACAGATGATCCTCGAGCTTTGATTACACTACTTTACGAGATTTATTCAACTCTCGGGTGCAATAATAGCTAGGTAGCAAGGGAACTCAGCATATTATCCATAACCGTAATGTTTACTTGTAAAAAGATATTGAGGTGACAAATCAAAGGCTATGGTGGTATAAATACAGAAACTAGAAAGCCCAACTATGGTGGAATGGATTATAATTCTAGTCAAAACATTGAAAACACATCGCAAATTAGTAATGGATTATACCTATTGATAAGCTCAAGCCCCTTCTTAAGGGGCTCGGGCTTGATTACAAGTGCTAGAAAAGTTAATCAATTAGCATCATGGCATATGTATAAGAACAATTTCTTTATCAAAATACTATGTGTAGTATATATATATATATATATATATATATATATTTGTCGGCTCAAACCTGTGGAGTTTGCATTTCCCATAGGGTTTTCCGGTTTAGAGTTCTCACAACAAATGATTCATTATTTGCCTGCCAAAATAATTCATGCATCTTGTAAAACCACACTGATAATTCCATAATCCATAGGCAACTTTTTGTTCGGTGGGATGTATTCTTTCTACCACTTTGGAATAGCCAAACAATTACAAGCTCAAAAACTGAATATGTTAATTAAGTCAATATAATCATCATAAAACATACCTCTTTAATTGTTGATTTAGCAGGAACCCCAAGAACTGCTGCTCCAACAAGCCAACCATCCTTTAAGACCTGCAAAGAAATCCACAAATTTGAGAAACACTAAAAAGGCTTCCATTTATACTATTCTAGAGTTGAGTTTCTCTACTCAACCATCCCCTCAAAACATAAAATCTTGTTTCAACTATTTTAGAGAAATCCAACATATCTTGAAATCTTACAAGCATATTCCTCAATCATGGACCCATCCATTGCTTCACACACAAATAATAAGAGTGTTTTCAGGTATTTCTTCTGCAATGCATCATATACTCCTACAAACATAAACAAACAATAAGAAACAAGAAATTCGTAACGAAATAAGAAACAAAGGTTGGAAAAATGCAAAATGGTGTAAAAAGAGGCGAGGGTGGAGGCATCCGTAAACTGATTGAAATTTCAAACGTTGAATTGAATCGGCAGAAAAGAAACGGAATATGAAACGAGATTTCACCCTTTCGGCATGGCTTCGATCTTCGGTGAGAGTCGTGACTTCCTTGAACTAAAATCGAGGCGGAGTGAATGACGAGGAGGGAGTTAAGGGGTGAAGTGAGGTTAGGGCGGCGATTCATCTTCCTCAGAAGTCATGGCAGCGATTCGTAATAGAGAATGACATTGACGGAGTTTGTGGTAGCGGCAGTAGTGGTATTGATTTGGAGAATTTACAATCCCAGTTCTATATATATATATATATATATATATATATATATATATATATATATATATATATATATATCTACTATACTAATAAGAAACCAAGAGAGTTAGGCCTATAATGGGTAGAAAAAATGGCGGTCACAGATTTTAATCAAATGAATGGCTCAGATTGATTAAAAAATTGATAAGATTTAAATTTTGCACTAAAATTTCCTAAAATACCCACACACCGTTACTAATTCCGTTAAAATTTTAAGAATTGCCGTTAATTCACCGTTAACTTACTCATTGATTTCAATAAAAAAAAAAAGGTCTTAGGTTCGAACCTCGTCCCAATCAAAGTTGGCATAATTAGTACTCTATTTTACTCTTATTAAATTATATTGATGGGGTGAGAACCCCGGCCCGAGAAAAGAGGCCCAGAAAGAACGCATGGGCCGAGTCCAGGACTCGGCCCAGATCCAAAGAGGGAGGCCCAGTTCAGAAACCGGAAGGGCGGCCCAATGCCAAACGGGGACAAGGAGTCGGCCCAGGCCCGATCTAGGAGAGGACTCGGTCCAGAGAGCCGTTGAGGGAGCCTTCAACGCAGTTAAGACAGGGAGCCGTTGAGGCATTAAAGGCCGGGCTCGGTCCGCCAGTTACTAGCCAAAGAGAGCCGTTGGCAGATTCCGTAACGTCGCCCAACAGCTCGGCACATTGAATGTAATCTTTAAGTCGGCCATCATAAGCCTTTAAGTCAGTAGAGGAGGAGCCACTATAAAGAGGGCTCCTCCACCCTTGTATGAGGCAGATTTCAAGGACCCGGAAAGGGAATAGACAAGTACTGTTAAGCATCATATTCTACTAAGACTCAAACCCTTTTGTGAAAGGTGTATCCACCAGCTATAGGTTGTGTTGGACCTCCTTGGGCCCGAAAACCCAAAAACCATCACTGGCGCCGTCTGTGGGGATCGAAACGAAGAGTCACGTGTCCACTTGGGTGAGGCGAGTCCGAGAAACAATAGTTGAATCAGGCCAACTCCAGACATGGCTGGAAGCGGGGAACAGTCGAGCCGTCAAGACAACGGACGGGAGGCCGACTTGAGAAACCAGCTGAATAGAAGAAATGCCCGAAGCCATGAAAACGAGACGACACCGCCGCCGACGCCGCTGAGAAACCCATAATTACCTCAAGTGCAGCTCACCCCGGAGCAGTTGCGCGCAATCGGACGCGCCTGCGCGGAAGCGAGCTTAGGAGCGAGAGAACAGTCCATCACTCGCCAATTGCAACGCGAGTTGCAACCGCCTCAGAGGCCAGACAATCTGCAATTAAGCCGACGGGCTGAAAGCCAGCCGGTGCAGTCCGTTCATTCCCGGCTAGGACCCAGCGTCGGACGTCGATCGGCAAGAGAGCGATTAGGCCGGAGGGAGCCCAGTCGTGCCCCGTTAGTCGTCCGCGACCGACAAGCTGCACGAGAAAAGAGCCGAACCAAAAGGGCCAGGACTTAGACTCGCCGCGTGGAGCAACCTCCTCGCAACCCTGCCCAACCGGCTGAGTCTGAAGTCGGCGAAAGCACGGAATCCGCGGGGAATCGGACCCGGGAAAGGGTCGAAGTGGCCAACCTAGTACAAGAGGTACGAAATCTAAGAGAACGGATGGAGGGAAAGGCCAAATCCCCGGGGCGTACGTTGCTAACCGCCTTGCCCTTCTCGGACGAGGTCATGGCCTTCAAGATACCGGGCGACTTTAAGTTCCCGGAGCAAGCCACATTTGACGGATCAGGCGACCCGCGAGAACACCTGTTGAGTTACCAAGCTAAGATGCAAGTCCTAGGAGTGCGGGATCCGGTCATGTGCCGTGCCTTCTTACCTACGCTGAAGGGGCCCGCCCAAAGATGGCTTGTAAGTCAGCCCTCGGGGTCGATCCACAGCTTCGAAGAACTGGCAGACCGCTTCATGAGCCACTATGCCGCTAACATCAAGCCACAGAAGGATCTGACGCACTTAGGCGACATCCATCAGGATGAAGGCGAGTCCTTGAAAGCCTATCTTGCTCGCTGGCAGAAGGAGATCCAGTCGATAGAAGAGGTGGAGGACCAAACAGCGCTCACCTTCTTCATTGAATCTTTGCGATCCGGACAGCTGTATCGAGATCTAAGGGACAACCGCCCGGCGACATACGCGGAGGCTGTCCAGATGGCCAATAGGAGGGCCAACACAGAGCAGGCCATGAAGCATAAACGGCAGCGCGAGGTCGGTGGGTCCGCCAGTGGAAAAAGGACGCGGGTGGAAACGAGAGAAAGGCGTTCGGATGCCGCCCGGCGACCCGAGGTCAGGCGACCGTATGACCGACCCGTCATTCGCACCTATCGACCGGTTCCAGAGCGACCAGTTCGCGAAGTACAGGCGGTCGCCCCGCCTCCGCCTCCGCCGATGGACGACCGAGCAGCGGACGAGGATACGGGTAAGACTTCTAAATATTGTCGCTATCACAAATCTTATACTCACAGCACAGAAGAATGCTACTATCTAAAGAAGATTATGGAGGGGATCATCCAGCAAGGGACACCGCCCCCTAACCAATGGAAGCGAAGGTCGACCGGTCGAGGAGGTGAGGGACCCGTCGCCGACTCAGAAAACAGCCGAGGCAAGCAGCCGGCTTCCGAAGAGGACGAAGCCCAATGGCGCCAGAAGCCGGTCATTAACATGATAGTCGGTGGGCCAGAAGGCGGCGATTCCGCGAACACCCGAAAAGCCTGGGCTCGGCAGCTATATGTCGGAACAGTCTATGGTCGAGAAGAGAGCTCCAAAAAGACATGTCGGGAGCCCATCGTGTTCACCGATAAAGACCTGCCAGCTGGGGAAACCCCGCATCGAGACGCGTTGGTCATCGCCATGGACATCAACGGTGTGGTCGTTCGCCGAATCCTGGTCGACACCGGGAGCAGCGTTAACGTACTGTACCTGGAGACCTTTACCAAGATGGGGCTGACCCGAGAACAGCTCAGGCCCGTGAACACCCCTCTCGCCGGTTTCACCGGGGACTCGGTGGAGGCGGAAGGGTCCATCACTCTTCCTGTGGAAATCGGCAGCTATCCGAACGTGCAGCAGTTGAGCATGAAGTTCATCGTGGTCGATCTAGCCTGCTCACACAACGCCATACTCGGCCGCCCGGGTTTGGAAGACCTCGGGGCTCTGATCTCAATCGAACATTTGTGCCTGAAATTCCGCACGCCGAACGGAATTGGAACGGTGCGTTGTGACCGCAAGGTCGCCCGCGACTGCTATCTGCAGGCATGTAGAGGTATGGGCAAGCGTGGGATGCAGGTCCATGAGATCACCGAGAGGCCCCCTAAGAAAACAGTGATACCACGCCCGGAGCCGGCCGTCGAGCTAGAGGAAGTTGAAGTGGACCCAGCGCAGCCAAGCAGGCGAGTGAGAATCGGAGTCGGCCTTTCGGAGAAGCTAAAGGGGGAAATCACAAGAGTACTCCAAGAGCACCGGCTGGTCTTCGCCTGGGGCCCAGAAGATATGCCCGGCGTAGATCGATCGGTCATATCGCATCGACTCGCCGTAGACCCGGAGCACCGGCCGGTCGTGCAAAAGAAACGATATTTGGCAAACGATCGGAGGGAGTTTGTGAAGAAAGAAGTCAGCACGCTGTTAGCAGCCGGACACGTCCGTGAGGTCAAGTACCCGGAATGGTTGGCTAACGTGGTCCTTGTGCCCAAGCCCCCGACGTGGCGAATGTGTGTAGACTACACAGATCTTAACAAAGCGTGCCCAAAGGATCCGTTTCCTCTGCCCCGAATCGACCAGCTAGTCGACGAGACGGCCGGGTCGGCGTTGCTCAGTTTTATGGATGCCTTCAGAGGGTACCATCAAATATTCATGCACCCGGCAGACGAGGAGAAGACCGCCTTCCTAACTCCGGATGGAGTGTATTGCTATCGAGTCATGCCATTCGGACTCAAAAATGCCGGGGCCACGTACACCCGAATGGTCGCCCGGTTATTCCACCACCTGCTAGGAAAGTCGATGGCCGCGTACGTCGACGACATGCTCGTCAAGAGTCGAGAGGAGGACAAGCACGCGGAGGATTTAGCCGACTGCTTTAAAGTAATGATAAAGTATAACCTCCGACTAAACCCCAAGAAGTGTGCGTTCGCCGTCCAGGGCGGTAAGTTCTTGGGCTACATGGTCACCAAACGAGGCATTGAGTCTAACCCAGAGAAAGTACGAGCCATCCTCGACATGCAGCCTCCTACTACTATCAAGGACCTACAACGCTTGACCGGACGACTGGCCGCTCTTCAGCCGTTTTCTGAGCAAATCGGCGGATAAGACTGTGCCTTTCTTCGAAGCCATGAAGAAGAAAGAGGGATTCGCTTGGACTGTCGAATGCCAACAATCGTTCGAGGAATTAAAACGGTATCTGTCGACTCCCCCAGTACTGTCTACCCCCCAGGAGGGCGAGCCCTTACTGTTGTACCTCGCCGCCTCGGCCAAAGCGGTAAGTTCGGTGTTGGTTCCGAGAGGAGGACCGAGTCCAGCACCCAGTTTACTATGTAAGCCGCTCACTGAAAGCTGCCGAGACACGGTACACTGCCCTGGAAAAGATCGTGTATGCCTTGGTGGTCACCGTTCGCAAGTTGGCGCCTTATTTCCAAGCCCATACCGTCCGGGTCCTGACGGATCAACCACTCGGGAATGTACTACGGAACCCCATGTCTTCCGGCCGGCTAGTGAAGTGGGCCGTCGAGCTAACACAATACGGGATCGAATACCAACCCAGGCCCTCCATCAAAGGCCAAGCTTTGGCCGACTTCCTGGTCGAGTGTACGACGAGCGAGGAGGAGAAGGAAAGTGCCTCGGAAAGCACCCCGGGCGAGTGGTGGGAGATGCATGCGGACGGAGCATCAAGTCGACAGCACTGCGGAGGCGGCGTTGTGCTCATCACCCCGGAGGGATTTCGGTTGTATTACGCCCTAAGGTACTTGTTCCCTGCATCAAATAACGAGGCC